GAATCCAAAAATCACTCATGTTTTACTTTGGAGAGCATTTTGTGATTATTTTTCCTGCAGATTTAATTTTGTAATTGTGTTTTCCTTGATCTCAATCCTGGAACACACAGAGATGGATATAGGAATAGGCAGTCATGGAGCATACTCTGAGTGGAAGGAAATGACTGCAAGTTTTTAGGAATGTTAGAGATAAACAACAGATCACTCCCAAAGAAAATAATTAACACGTGACGATTGGCTGTACGTTCATACATAATTTTGATTTTCTTAATAAATGTCTCACGTTTCTCAACTATGTCATGCACATTGTCTTGACTATATTTAAATTTGTGGTATGTAATGATCAATTTTTAGTTAATAATTTTTGATTCATACAAGTTTTACTGGTGAAATGGAGGGAGCGCACTAAACAGAAATTTTCTTGCCTTCCTCAATCATCTTAAAGTCCTTCCTGCAATTTAAAAAAAAAATTCTTCCTGCTGATTTCTCTTGCTGAGTCTCAAGTTTGCTTGTGCCTACACTGGAGGCTTATACCAGATGTGCAGTTTGAGGTTCCTTGCATATTCCTCTGGGAGCCTCTGAAAGTCATTTGCTTTTTTTGCGGGGAGAGGAGTGTAGGGGGCTGTTTACTCTCTCTCCAAATAACAACTTCTTAAAAGTTAATATGAAATCATTTTAGTGAATATAGAAAAAGTCTGACATTTACAGAACTGGCTACCTGTGATGTAGTTTATATTTTGTGTTTAATAAAAAATGCAAACTATTAGAGATGAACAGATGTCCACACTGAAATATTTGCAATGTAAAGAAGAAAATAAAAGTATCTGTTTGTATTAGTTCAGGGGAAACAAAATTTATCAGTTTTGTTTATTTTGCTATCCAGTATTCTTTAATTTTAATTTTCTTTACAAAAACATTTAATTCCTTTAACAAAAATGTTTTGTAAAAATGACTTGCTCATTGTAATAAGTTACTGAAAACATACACATGTACAAAGATTAAAATATCCTATCCATTGCCATCATCCTAGATATAAACAATGTTAACATGTTGGTGGTTATCCTTCCAAAATTACCAGGAGGAGCTTTTTTAAAAATAAAGATTATAGATCTGTATCCTTAGCTCCCATGTGTATTGCATCACATTTTCTGGGGTTGGTAACCAGGATTTTTCCTCCTTCCCTCACTTCCTTATTGTTTTTTAATTGCTTAAGTTACGCTTGAAGAGAGTCCAGTGCTAGAGTAATGCACTGAACAACCAAAGACACTCTTCAGACACCCTCGCTCCCATGCTGTTCCCCAGCCAGAGGTCACCACTGTCAACAGTAGATCCTGGCCAGCCACCTGTAGGTGCGTTGACACACATAAGTGTCTATATTTTTTTTTAAAATAAATGGGGCATTTTATTGGTATGTTTGTACTGTTTTGTGATTTTCCTTTTTCACTTAATGATTTACTCATGAGGTTTTTCAATATCCTATATAATGCTACACTGATGAGGTCAGTATTGTTCTGTTATTTTAATTTTATTCTTTACACTCATTTTTTAAAAAATAAATGAATATATTCTCATGGCAAAAATTTAAAACTATACAAATAAAGCAGAAGTCCTCCTTGACTTCAGTGTATCCCATTCCATTCTCCAGAAATAATTTGTTATCATTATATGTATAGTATGTCCTTTCTGTTTTTTAAATTATTTACATACATAAATACACACATACTTCTGTGGTTTTGTAGGTGGTTTTTAAAATTGCTACCTCAATGTTCTGCAGCTTGCTCTTCTCACTTAATAGTATACCTTAGAGATACATCCTTTTTAGTACATAGACATCTACCTCTTTATATTATATTCCATAGTATGGATTAGCTATCGCTTATATAACCATTTGCTACTGGTAAACATTTACATTGTTTCCATTATTTGACAGTTGTAAGCACTATTACAGGAAACATTGCTACACAGGCATCTTTGTGTACCTGCTCAGGTGTTCTCTAGGACAGAGAAAATGAAATGCTGGGTTGATCCAGAAAAAACCATTGCTGTCGAGTCGATTCCGACTCATAGTGACCCTACAGGACAGAGTAGAACTGCTTTATAGGGTTTCCAAGGAGCAACTGGTGAATTTGAACTGCCGACCTTTTGGTTAGCAGCCATAGCTCTTAACCACTGTGCTACCAGGGCTCTGGGTTGGTGGGGATGTGTATTTTTAATTTTAATGAAAACTACCAAATATTCTCCAAAGTCTGTACCACTTTGGTCTCTTAGTGTTGGTAATTTTCTGTACTTTAACTAATGCTGGGTGTTATCAGCCTTTTAAAAAATATTCTATTCTCATGAAATATCGTATTATCATTCTAGTTTATATTTAAAATTTTTTATTACTTTGAACTTTCATTGCCTATTTTTGTTTTAGATGGTTGATCTTTCTTTTCTTTTGTTGATTTGTAGGAGGTCTTTTCTAAAAATTTATTTTTCTGTTAAATGTGTTGCAAATGCTTTCTCCTTGTCTGTTGTCTTGTAACTTCATGGTATTTTTCATCATATAAAAGTATTTAGTATTTAAGTACTCAAATTACTATTCTTCATGTCGTTTTCAATTTCATTTCTTGCACAAGAAAAAGGCTTCCTTAACTCTGGGTTTATACGCATACTAAAATAAATAAATACAAGAGAAAATGATTAAAGTTTATTGTCCTAGGGTCATTTGTAGAATTTTACCCTTTCCTCAAGGATTTAAAATACTGCCTGTATCATAACCTATAATTCTCAAATTAATGTAGATCTGTTTCTGAACTCATTTCTGTTTCATTGAGCTATTTGTTTTACTCTACTACCGATACCACACTTTTCAATGAATATAGCTTGATAAAAATTCCGCTGTTTGAGAAGGAGCATTCCTCCCCATGGTAGCCTCTCTCGAAAATTTTTTTTCCTATCTATTTTTTTTATCCAGCAATATTTCATTTACACTGTGTTACAAAATATCATGTAAATTCCTGTTGGTATTTGGATGGGGATTATATTGTATTTTAGATTAATTTAGAGGGAGATCAGACGTTTTTACAGTATTGAGTCTTTTTGTACAGAAACATTTTGTGTCTCTACATTAATTCAGATCTCACATGGCCTTCAGTCAAAACTATGGTAGTCTGCCTAAAGGACTTACGTATTTCTTTTACCTTTAGTCCTAAATATTTTACTGGATTTATTGCTTGAATTTTCTATTAGCCATGTTAAAGAGAAACAGGTGAAATTAATTTTAATGATATACTTTATTTAACCCAGTATATCAGAAATACTATCATTTTAACATGTAATCAATATTAAAATATATTAGTAAGATATTTCTACTTCTCCTCCTTTTTTTGTATTAAGTGTTCAGAGTTCAGTGTGTATTTTATACTTACAGCTCAACTCAGTTCAGACTAGCCACATTTCAAGTGCTCAGTAGCTATAAGTAGCTAGTGGCTGTTATATTGGATAACTTCAATTCCAAGTGGACAGTCATTGCCTGCAAATAATGAATTTTTTTCCTAACTTAAAAATTTTTTTTGTATTTTTTTCTTAATGCTTTTGCATGGTGCACTAGGAGTACAGTGTTGATGTTGATAATATTAATGGGAATACTTCAGTGCTTGACTGCTGTGGATTTCTGGTTAGGTAGACTTTGAAACTAAAGAGGTTTCCTTCCCTTTGTAGTTTGTAAGAAGTTTTTTTTCTTTAAATTAGGAATAGGTGTTTAATTTTATCATGGAAATTTTTGGTTCTGTTGAGATGACCATATTTTTTCCTCCTTATTTTTAATCAAGAGAAATAATAGATTTTAAATGGTGACCAGTTCGTACGTTTTTGAAACAAAGCTTTCTTGATTATGATGCATTTATTCTTTTAACAGATTTTACCACTAGATTATATTTGTTTTTGTTTTATCTAGGCTATCTGAAAATCTCTATTCATTTCTCTGTTTTGTTTTAAATATAGTTTTTGTCCAAAAGAAGATTATTCTGGCCTTGTGAGATGAGTTGGGTAGATACGATTCTTGTTCTGTACTTAGGAACTATGTCTATTACAGTCATTCATATGTTGCTTAATGTCTGCAATATGTCCTGTGAAATAGGACGTTATGTGATTTGAACATTGTGCGAACACCATTTATTACAGGCAGTCCCCGGATTACGAACATTCCACTTACAGACAACTCATAGTTAAGAATGGGCAGCTATAAAGCCTGTTATATTAAAAATTTGAGTTAAATACACATCTGACAGCACAATCACTTTGTATACTAGAGACAAGAGATATACGTGTTGTGTGTGAGAAGCTGTTGCGTTCGCTATGTCTGGTTACATCCACTATGTCCTGGTCTCCAATCGGGGTTTCTGAACTCTTGTTATAACCTAATGGGACCACGGACATACATGCAGTTGGAAATTGCCTGAATGGACATTATGCAGCGCATGACTCTACATGGGAATTATCTGTTCTTTGAGAGTTTGGTAGATTTGTTTATAAATGGCCTGGACTTGGTTTGTTTTTTAGGCTTAGTTCTTTGATTGTGTTTCCCATTTTTCTAGGGTTATTTATCCATTCAGGCTTACATCCTCTTTGGCCATTTCTGGTATTTTGTATTTTCCTAGATCTTTGTCTGTTTTGCTCTTGTTTTTGAATATACTCATGTAAAGTTGTACATAAAATTCTCTTATAATTATGTATGTGTTTTTATATTCAAAGAAGAATCTAGAAAGACATGTAAGAAACTTAATACTGATTACCTGTACAAAGTAGAACTATGGAAATTAGACATGATAGCCTTTAAAAAGTTCTATATACTTAGGCAGTATGAGAATTTTCAAATCATGAACTTGTTTTACTTTTTATAAGAGAAAAAGAGAAGAGTGTTATTTCAACTTTTAAACACAGTATAGAATATTGTACAGAAATACATTCTTATTATTCATAGCACATCTTAACTGTGTCTTTTTTTTTTTTCTCTCAAGCTGGACTCTGGACTGTCTTCACACTAGGCGGCGTGGGCAGCAAACAGCAAACTCCAGAGCTTTCTTCACCTCTGGCCAACCAGAGTCTCCTGCTTTTGCTGGTGTTGGCCAATCTGACAGATGCGCCAGATGCACCAAACCCCTACAGACAGGCCATTATGTCCTTTAAGAATACACAAGGTTTGTGGTAATTTTTTTTTTCTTCTGATTATTCCTTCTAATGAGGAAAGAGGATATTGTTTACTCCATATTGTTTATCGACTTACAGTTTTGAAGCTGACTGTCATTTTGGATATTTTCATATTGGTTAGACATGAGAAAAACTTAAATTTTCCTGTCTATATTGCCAGCAAGGTCAAATAAATCATTGATGAGGGTTGTGATCCTTTTTATCCATTTTAATGTACATTTCTCCCAGAAACAACCAAACTAGTGTGTATTTCATTCACATCAGCCTGTCCTGTCTGCTAGGTATAGAAATTACCTAGAAAACCCCAAGTGATATGTTGTTTGAAGTTTGTCGTTTAAAGTTTGTATTCCAGTTAAAGTTTTGTAGGACTAAGAATCAGAACAAGGGTCGGCAAACATTTTCTGCAGAGGAGTAGATAACTCTGAAGGGCCATATGGTCTCTGTCACAGACTCTTAACTCTGCCATTGTAGACAGAAGCAGCCACAGACAGACAATACATAAATCAGTGAGCATGGCTGTGTTCCAGTTAAACTTTATATACAAAAATAGGTGCCAGGTTGGCCCGTGGAGTGAAATATGCTAATCCCTGAATTAGCCGCTCCACAGGAGAAAAATTAGGCAGTCCACTTCCGTAAAGATTACAGCCTTGGAAACCCTATGGGGGCAGTTCTTCTGTGTCCTATAGGGTTGCTGTGACTTGAAATCAACTGGATGATAATGGATTTTTTGAAATTTGTTTTCAATTGCCTCATATGCATGCGAAAGCTGAACAATGAATAAGGAAGACCGAAGAAGAATTGATGCCTTTGATTTATGGTGTTGGCAAAGAATATTGAATATATCATGGACTGCCAAAAGAACAAATAAATCTGTCTTGGAATAAGTACAGCCAGAATGCTCCTTGGAAGTGAGGATGGTGAGACTTCATCTCACGTACTTTATCAACTGGGACCAGTCCCTGGAGAAGGACATCATGCTTGGTAAAGTAGAGGGTCGGCAAAAAAGAGGAAGACCCTCAAGGAGATGGATTGACACGATGGGCGCAAACATAGCAATGATTGTGAGAATGGTGCAGGACGGGGGAGTGTTTTTGTTCTGTTGTACATAGGGTCGCTATGAGTCAGAACCAACTCGATGGCACCTAACAACAACAACATAGCTGAACTAAATCTACTGTAAAAGCATAAGCTTAAAAACAGAGCTATGGGGCTAGGTAAAAAGCCCCCATAGATAAAGTCTAAACCAGGTTACTGAGAAGTTTGTTACCAAACTAAATGTCCACCAGTCCTAAGTAAAAATATCTAGAGACAATACAAATTTCTACGTAAAACAGAACATCCTCTTGTAAAGTAGGGTTAAGAAGGAAAAACTGCCTTGAAGCTAAGTTAATTTTTTTCAAAAGAATAATCATGGGTGAAGTGTCCACCAATCATTAATCCAATTAATGAAACAAAATGGCGGGAATAACAACATATAATTAACCAGTTTTAAAATAATATCAAAGTCTCCTACATTCAGTATTAGCTTCTAAATGAATGAAATATGCCAAATCTAAGAAAACTTCTATAACTTTTTTTTTTTTTAAAAAGGAAAACATATCTAACCAACTGCTAAGAAACTGGAAAAAATATACATATGTGTATATGTATAGTCACTGGAATGATTAAAAGCATGAATTACAGTCCATGTTGGGAAAATTCTTGGTATTCCAGAACTGACAGAGGCTATTTCCTACAGTTAACTGGATTTGCTTAGAGATTGAAGCAAGCAAGGTTAGGAAGCCAAAAAGGAGAGAAAGATAGGTTCAGCTGACTCAGAAAAAGTCATAATTTCATCAGAGAAAATACTGGAACATGACAGCACAAAGAGCTGATACTTTAATGTGTTTTGAAAAGTAAGCACCAATTATTTTAAAACACAGAAACACTACAAAGAATAGAAGCCGCTTTAACGTTTCCAGCAGCTGTGCTCCTAGGGAAATGAGGTGTGTGCCAACACAGACAATCTTCATTAGCACAGTCTTACTCCTCTCAGACTCTCCTTTCTGATTTTTACGTTTGTGAAAAGAATGTATCTAGAAATGTCTAAGAGTGTATCTAAAATTTTACAACACGGTGCCCTCACTTGTCTTTCCACATTTGGAAGGTAGGTCATTTTTTTCAATCCTAACACTGTATTTTTAACACTTCAAAAATAATTCTTTTGTGTGATTGACTTCATATTTTTTCAGAGGATGGCAAGAGGAAGCTGCATGTAGTATGAGTACTCAAATATTACAGAATCTAGAGAAGACTCACTGGAGAAAGATTCTGAACAAGATACACTTTTTTTTACAATGGAAGCAAAGTAACATACTCACCAACCTGTATTATACCTGGTTGCAAAAGAAATATGTGTGTGTGTGTCCACAACATCAACATATTATGAATAAGTGCTAGGAATGAGCCATTATACTAACAGCTTTATGTATATCATCCTTCATTATCCATACAACAAACATGTCATTAGAACCAGTTCTACAAAGGATGAAACAGAGGCTTAGAGAGACTAACTTTTCCAAGATCAGCCCTGAGTGCAACCCAGATTTGCCACTGTTGTGGCCACATTATACTGCTTTCTCTAATAGTAGCAATCATTTTGTCAGTCTACCAAAAAACCAAACCAAACCTGTTGCCGTTGAGTTGATTCCGACCTACAATGACCCTATAGGACAGAGTAGAACTGCCAGCCTTTGGTTAGCAGCCGCACTCTTAATCACTGCGCCACCGGGGCTCCATACTGTTGTAAGTGCTCATTTAATTCTTACTAAGAACTTTGTGAGATAGATATTCTAAGCCCTGCTTTATAGATAAGGAAACTGGAGTTTAACGAACAGTGGGATATGAACTCAGGTCAGTCTGACTCTAAAGCCAATGTTCTGAATCACTGGGCAATGTGAACTCCCAAAAGATAACTAACTATCCCAAGCAAGATTCATACCTAAATACTAATATTTGGCCTGATCAGCAAAAGTAACAATAGTACATACCATATACCATGCTGCAAAGTCTAAGCTAATCATTTTAAAACTTTACCTTGCTTGGTATTTATAAAATACTATCAGGTGACATTATCTCCATTTTATAGACAAATCCATTGAGGATTATTGAAAATAAGCAAATTTTTCAAGGTCTGACAGCTCCTAAGTGATAGAGCTGTGCTGTGAACCCACGTCTGCCTGACTCCAAAACTTGCTTTCTTAACCATTAAGTCATACTGTCACCTTGAGGAAGAGTACAGTAATATGAATAGAAAAAATACTACCAGACACTTGAGTTTTCATTTTTTATCAAATTGTTAGAGATTCCCCAATTCCCCTACAAATGGTGATACTATAATTGGCAAAGGTATGACTAAGTGGCACCCTCATCCAGTCTATAAGAAATGTGTAGTAGCAGAGTTCTGGAAAGGAACATGGCAGAGAGCATGGAAAGTCTTTAAAATGTTTTTATCCAATAATTCCACTTCTTACTCATCTCAATTATATTAGTTTTGGACAAATCTTGATAAATTAGTTACTATGTTGACGTTGGAGCCCTGGTGACGCAATGGTTAAGAACTGTGGCTGCTAACCAAAAGGTCAGAAGGTTGACAGTTCGAATCCATCAGTCACTCCTTGGAAACCCAATGGGGCAGTTCCACTCTGTCCTGTTGGGTTGCTGAGTTGAAACTGACTCAATAGCAACGGATTTGTTTTTGTTTTTTTTCATACATTGATCTTAAAGAGTCTTGGTGGCACAGTCGTTAAACGCTCAGCTGCTAACTGAAAGGTCGGTGGTTCAATCCCACCAGCCACTCCACAGGAGAAAGACCTGGCGATCTGTTTCGGTAAAGATTGTTGAATTTTTTGTTAGGTGGCTCTGAGTTGATTCCGACTCATAGCAACCCTATGTACAACACAAGGAAACACTGCCCTGTCCTGAGCCATCCTCACAATCATTGCTATGTTTGAGCCCATCGTTGCAGCCACTGTGTCAGTCCGTGTTATTGAGGGTCTTCCTCTTTTTCACTGACCCTCTACTTTACCAAGCATGATGTCTTTCTCCAGGGACTAGTCCCTCCTGATAACATGTCCAAAGTATGTGAGATGAAATATTGCCATCCTCACTTCCAAGGAGCATTCTGGCTATACTTCTTTCAGGATAGACTTGTTCATTCTTCTGGCAGTCCATGGTATATTCAGTATTCTTCGCCAACACCATAATTCAAAGACATCAGTTCTCTTTCAGTCTTCCTTATTCATTGTCCAGCTTTCACATGCATATGAGGTGATTGAAAACACCATGGTTTGGGTCAGCCACACCTTAGTCTTCAAGGTGACATCTTTGCTTTTTAACACTTTAAAGAGGTCTTTTGCAGCGAATTTGCCCGATACAATACATCATTTGATTTCTTGACTGCTGCTTCCATGGGCATTGATTATGGATCCAAGTAAAATGAAATTCTTGACAACTTCAATCTTTTCTCCATTTATCATGGTGTTGCTTATTGGTCCAGTTGTGAGGATTTCTGGGTTCTTTATGTTGAGGTATAATCCATACTGAAGGCTGTGGTCTTTGATCTTTGTCAGTAAGTCCTTCAGGTTCTTGAAGCACTTACTTCAAGTCCTTTCAGCAAGCAAGGCTGTGTCATCTGCATATCACAGGTTGTCCTGATGCCCCATTCTTCTTCGTATAGTCTAGCTTCTTGGATTATTTGCTCAGCATGCAGGTTGAATAAGTGTGGTGAAAAGATACAACCCCGATGCACACTTTTCCTGATTTTAAACCACACAGTATCCCCTTATTCTGTTTGAACGACTGCCTTTTGGTCTATGTATAGGTTCCTCATGACCACAGTTATTCCAAGTGGCGAGGCCCACATGTATAGTTGCCGTTTATGTTGTTGAAAAAAGATATTTGCAATGAAGAAGTCATTGAGCTTGCAAAATTCTGTCATGCAGTCTCTGACTTCATTTCTAACACCAAAGCCATATTTTCCAACTACCAGTCCTTCTTTGTTTCCAACTTTCGCATTCCAATCACCAGTAATTATCAATGCATCTTGATTGCATGTTTGATCAATTTCAGACTGCAGAAGTTGGTAAAAATCTTCAATTTCTTCATCTTTGGACTTAGTGATTGGTGTGTAAATTTGAATAATAGTTGTATTAACTGGTCTTTCTTGTAGGCGTATGGATATTATCCTGTCACTAACAGCGTTGTACTTCAGGATAGGTCTTGAAATGTTCTTTTTGACACTGAATGTGACGCCATTCCTTTTCAGTTTGTCATAGTAGACCATATGATTGTCTGATTTGAAATGGCCAATACCAGTCCATTTCTGCTCACTAATGTTCTGCTCACTATCGATGTTTATGCATTCCTTTTCATTTTTGACAACTTCCAGTTTTCCTAGATTCATACTTCGTACATTCCACGTTCCTGTTATTAATGGATATTTGCAGCTGTTTCTTCTCATTTTGAGTCATGCCACATTAATAAATGAAGGTCCTGAAAGCTTAACTCCATCCAGGTCATTAAGGTCAGCTCTGCTTTGAGGAGGCATCTCTTCCCAGAAGTATTTTGAGTGCCTTCCAACCTGATGGGCTCATCTTCCGGCACCATACCAGATGATGTTCTGCTGGTATTCACAAGGTTTTCACTGGCCAATTTTTTCAGAAGTAGACCACCAGGTCCTTCTTTCTAGTCGGTCTTAATCTGTAAACTCCTCTGAAACCTGTCCACCATGGGTGGTCCTGCTGGTATTTGAAATACTGGTGGCATAGCTTCCGGCATCATAGATAGCAACATGCAAACCACCACAGTCTGACAAACTGATAGATGAGTGGTGGTGTTCAGCTATGTTAATGCAGAAATAGTAACAGAGTCAAACTATGTGACTTTTAGTTTAGTTCTTTTTTAAATAAAATTTAAAATATAAGTAAAAATTTTAAATCTGAAATGTGGTGACTTTATATGCAATTAGTGAGAATTAAGTTGTAAACATTATTTTAATAGTGCTTTTATTATTTACATAAGGCACAGTCCAGAAAATACTTTTTTACATTTTGTGTGTGTGTTTTTTTTTTTGTATTGCAGATAACAGTCCTTTCCCCTCATCAGTTCCGCATGCTTTCCAGATTAATTTTAATAGTTTATACACAGCTCTGTGTGAACAGCAGACGTCTGATCAGGCAACTCTCCTCTTGTATACATTACTGCATCAGAATAGTAATATTAGAACATACATGTTGGCTCGTACAGATATGGAAAATCTTGTAAGTGTTGTACTAAATATTTTATCAGTTTTGTATTTCATAATATTTTGAAGGGTAATGTCTTTTCCCAGAAGGATAATGTGTTTGCCTGGTTATGATAAAAAAGGTGATGGTCCAGAGATTGATAGGGAGATGTTAACAGACACAAGCAAAGGGTGTGAGTATCTTCACTGTATAAGACAACTCACATGGAGATGGCCTCACAGAGCAGGAGAACACAACAGCGACCCCAGCTGGTTTGCCAAGCTTCTGCATCCTTTAGGCTTTTACCAGCCACTCTACTGCCCGTGATTCGGCCTGAGCAAGTCAACCCTGTTTGCCATTCTCAAAGAGATTTTTATACCCTTTTGGTCCCTTCCATCTGCCAGGTTTTCTGCCCACCAAGTTCAAGTAACTAGTCACAGTTGTAGCATATTCCTGATGAGAATGGGTAAAGAGAAGGGTGATTCTTAATTTCTCAAGTGTCCCATCTCTCTTAGAGGCTTAGACTTTAGGGTTGCTGGAACGCAATTCCTGGAGTGTTACAGTTACCATACATCACTTAAATGTATACTATCCTTCACTATGTGAGTGAAATTGGCTCCAAAATTTTTGTTCATAGACAAAACCCCTACATACAATCATTGATGTTCATTATAACTAATATATAAACATTATACATTAGTATTTCTATTAATAGGCAAGTAAGTTACCTCAACAGGCTGCTAATATTATGTTTGTAATACATAGTATGTAGATAACCATGAGCTCTTAATACATTAATATATATGTGATTATTTCTGAAATAGTAGCAACTTACTGACAGCAACTGCCATGTTTCATGTGTACCAGTTTTTACAGGCTGATAGCAGTTTTCACCGGGTGTTTGGTAGCCATTTTGTCAGTGTTAATGATAAAATACTGTGCACTAATGAGTAAATATGGAAAATTAGTATTCTTAAGCAAATTCAGTATCAAAGTGACACCAAAAGTATGTGATGAAAGAACTTATTCCCACACTAGCTATGTACGGAAAAGTTATAAGTTACATTGTCTTAAGTAGCAAAATTGGGTATGAAAATATATTGCTCATGTGAGTCAAAATTTGTAAAGAGAATGCTTGTTTACTGATGTATGAGTATAAGGACATAAACAATTCTGAGCATAACATATCATAAGAGAAATGATGGTAATAAGCAGAAAGTCCATCATGTTTGTCACCTAGAAAATTTCTTGTAAGGATGTTGCTATATAAGATGATGCAGGGAGCAGTTGTCTCTGTATATGGCTACATACAGCAGTGAAAAGTGAGAAAGTTTTGTTTTATGTTTTTTTTGTGCTTATTTGTTTCGATTTTTTTTTTTTTTTAATTTTCCTGCATGGATTATTTTGATAATCTCTTAACTGATCTTCCTATATGTCCTCTTGCCTTTCTCCTATAATAAATATTTGTTGAGTCTGTGATTATAAAGTACAATATTGGTAGGAGATTTACTATTCTGATCTGACTTTGTTTTGTTGTTATTCCATTGTGTTTTGAGAACGTTTGTTGTTATTGCATTGTGTTTCAACCTGCCTTATATTTAAAGTGAGTTTCTTGAAAACAGCATGTAATTGAGTCATGTTTTTTCATCTACTATACATTTTTTTTTTAGTCTCTATCTTTTAATTGGTATATATAAACCAGTTACATTTAATGTAATTATTGCTGTGTTAGGACTTAAGTGGGCCATTTTATTTTTTGTTTTTTTGTTTGTTTCTTCTGTTTTTCATTTCTCTATTTTCTTTTTCCTACCTTCTTGTGGGGCACTTGGACATTTTTTAAAACTCCATTTTGATTTATCTACAGTGTTGTCAAGTGTATCTTTTTGTATAGCTCTTTTAGTGGTTGCTCCAGGTATCACATTATATATATATATATGTATAACTTATCACAGTGTATTGGTATCATCATTTTACCACTTTCAGTGAAGTGGAGAAATCTTACCTCCCTTTATGTACCTTCCAATATGTAGTTTATTTACTACAAAGCAGAAATTGTTATTTTTAGCATATTTTTTGTCATTCCCATTATTTTTCTATTACTAACACGAAAACACACAGACTCCCAAACACTACTTCATAATATTCATCCTGACTAGAGTCTAATTTTGCTGCAATTACAACTCTGTGTCACTCTATAAGAATACATACTTGAAGATTTTTAAATCTTCTCGTGGTTTAGTAATAATTGGCAGTGATAATCCCTTCAGTGGAGCTAAAGAGTGGATTCCAGTAGAATGATCTGCCCCTTGGGAGTCTAACACTTTGAATAGTTCCAGACTGCTCTAAAATTCCAGTTGAAACGGAGCATCTCAAGAATGATCATTGTTTGCAGTATAGTTGAAAGGCTTACGCCTGTGTTCATGAGTGTTTCAGCCAAGACGTATGTAGCTAGTATGTCCATATTTAATAAATACTTGTAGTAATCTGCTTACCTTCATTAGTGAAGAATGAACAAATTAAAAGTGTTAGTTGTTTGGAATAAACTAAATTGGTCTGAATATAAACAGGATTATAAAATTAAATGCTTGACAGATACAGTAAAGTATAAATCTTGATACACATGTTGAGAAAATGTACCTTGGTTGCAGTCTTCTGTTTATTTACGTATTTAGTTGAAGTACATTTTTATTTCTTAGTATTTCTAAAATATAAGTGATGCTAATCACAAATTAAAACATTTTATTCAATTTTTGGGCAGCTGTGTCCCTTTGTTGTTGTTGGGTTGGGGGAAGGTGATGTGACTTCTTAAAAATTTCAGACAAACCATAAACCAAATTGTCTCTGCAGATCAAATCTCTATATGGCACAGACTTTCTCAGGCATACCCTCACAGAATTAGTGATTGTTTTCTCTATTGTTATCTTAGCTATCCATATGGAAATACTTTTAGTCAGAGGTTGGTTTATGTGTTCTTTTTTCTCAGAGGAAAGATAAAACTATGATATTAAAGCAAAGGGTACAAAGTAAAAGTGTAAATGTTTAAAACGTTTGGTGTTATAGCAAAAGTAATTGAAATTAATAGTAAATAATAGTTTTAATTCCCTAGGTTTTACCAATTCTTGAGATTCTGTATCATGTTGAAGAAAGAAATTCACACCATGTATATATGGCTCTTATAATATTGTTAATTCTTACAGAAGATGATGGCTTCAATAGATCCATTCATGAAGTGGTAAGTGACCAGTACTTTGATGAGAGTTACAGAGTTAGCAGTATAAACATGTACCTCCATAAGATTTTCTACTGTGTTAGAATTTCTTCTTTCTTTTCCTTCTGGTCGATATTTCTGCATGAACCTGGCTTAGAAATGGTATATCTTTCTTCAAATTTATGAGGTGGTGCTTTTTTTCTGACAGACTATTAGCCACTGTTAAAAACTCTCTCAAAATGGTTTCTTTAGTAATTGGTGCAAATATTTTTGCTGCCGCTAGGCTCATTTTTCTTCTCCACTTTATTTTTACCTTTTAATTGTGGCAGCAGTTGTCAAGCAGGTTTGCTCTTTGCATATAGAATGAGCCAAGAAATAGGGAACAAAAGCTATGTGAGCTCTATAATGAGTTATTTATATTTTTTATTAAACACTGTCAGAATTCTAGACAACTGTATATTTTCCACAGAGGAAAAAAGACAAATCTTTAGGTGAATGCTAAATTGGATTTCTAATTTTCATAGTAACATTGTAATTTTACTACATGGATACTCATTAAATATTTAATGTTAAATGAATAAGAATATTCTTATTCAGAACACTTCCAGCCTGTTATATAATTGACACACACAAGCAGATGTTAAGAACTAATGACTGGTCTTCCAAATCAGAATGGGTAATTTATTTTTCAATAAATGAGCCGAGAGAGAAGAGCAACAGAACTGTACTTAACTGTGTGACCTTTTAGAAAACAGAGACTCCTGTCACTAATGAGTATCCTGGGTTAGTATTGCCTTGTAGTGTTAGAGCAATGGCTCTCAAAGTTTTTAGTATTTATATTCTTAAATTATTGAGGACTCCAAAGAACTTTTGTGTATGTGGGTGATAATTCTCCACATTTACCATATTAGAAATTAAAACTTACATATAATATTTAATTCGTGCATTTAAAAGTAATAACAAACCCACTACATGTTAACATCGATGAAAATAACTATTTCCACAAACAAAAATTTAGTAGAAGAGTGACATTGTTGTGCAATTTTGCAAATGTCTTTAACGTCTGCCTTAACAGAAAACAGGTAGATTCTCATAGCTGCTTCTGTATTCCATATATTGTAGTATCACAATGTCATGTAACCTTTGGAAAACTCCACTGTACATTCATGAGAGGATAAAATTCTTGCTGTTATCATGAAAATAGCTTTGACCTTGAACATTCTCCTGGAAGGTCTCGGGACCACATTTTGAGAACTGCTGACTTAGTAAGTCAGAGGGGCTGAGCACTTCGCCTCTCTCCTATAAAAACTCAGTTGGCAAACTATTTTCAACTACTGTTATTTATTTTATACTTACATTATCTTTTCTACTTAAAGAATATGTTTAAAATTTACATGTTTTACTTTTCAGTTCATAAACCATATTCAGCTACCATGTAGTGGATGTTTACTATATGCCAGCCTTTGGGTAGAGACTTCAGAACAGGTCAGGGTTGGACTGTTTATACTGGGGACTCTAGGTGACATGGGACTCTTGCCAAAGAGTTAAGCTGAGTAAAAATCTGTAGTGGAGGCACCTGTGTGCACTTGACCTAACTCATGCTGCTTCCTCTGCCTTGAGTGTTCTTTACCTCCCGTGCAGCCCTTCTCTCTTCGCTAACTCCTCCTCATTTCTGAACAGTGAACTCATGCCCTCTGGGAATCTTTCTCTGTTTAACTGAACTCCATCACAGCACCTCTCATACTGAGTGATATTGTTAATTGTCACACCCTACACTGTGTGTCCTTGAAAACAGAGTCAGAATCTTGTTTAGCTGTATATTTCCAGTACCTATCTAGAATATAATGGGCACTTAGGAATATGTAATGAAATGTAAATGTGTGTGTGTGTGAGAGAGAGAAGACAAGGCTTTATCTAGTTATGAGGATGCCAAATTCCGTGGTCAGAGGCAAGATTTGGAAGTTGGGGTCTCAGAGCCAGCTTCTTTATACAGAAGGTGGAATAAGAGCATTGGTGCATGTTGATTATTATCATGTGCTTTTTTTTGTTTTGTTCTTTCTCATATTTAAGAAGGAAGGAGGAAGGAGAAGTAAACATATTGGCCCAGTTTGCTATCTTGAACTGAAAGTCTCACAGTCTATTTTATATGCAGTTTAAGTCACCTTCAGGGCAAAGCCATGGCTTATCAAAAATTGTGGATGTGGCATAAGTACTTTTTTCCCCTAAAGCAATCATATTTATTAAACTTTTCTTCCCTATTACAGATATTAAAAAATATTACTTGGTATTCAGAACGGGTTTTAACTGAGATTTCACTGGGGAGTCTCCTGATACTGGTCGTAATAAGAACCATTCAGTACAATATGACAAGGACAAGAGTAAGTATTTCTTAGGTATTTTTCTATCTTTATGTATACAGTACAATTAAGATTGTAGTTTAAAGCAATCCTTCTAAAATATGGTATAAAAAATACAGATAAAAATATAGTGATTATAATACATGATCCCAATGTACTCTATAGAATGTCTGTTACTTAATATTTTCTTTTACATTTTTTTATTTTGGTAAAATATATAGGTAACAAAATATTTGCCATTTCAACAACCTTCGTATGTACAGTTCAGTGTATTTGTTATATTTAATAGATCGTATGATCACTTTATATGAAATAGAAAACAAGTAGCACCTTTTACATAAAAGGTATTGTATTTATATAATTTCTGGACCAATAAAACTGATCAGCCTTTTAAGAGCTGCAGCAACAAATTCTAAGAAGGTAGGAGCACAAGAAAATGTGAGTTCAGATAAGGAAGAAAAGTAGAAGAAAGAGAATACTTTAAAGAGTGAAAGGAAAATTCCTACTGGATTTCTTTTAGCCTGGGACCAAGTTTCACTTCAGTAGAACTTTATTGTCGAAGAGAAGCAATGCACAGAATTCGTAGTTAGAGAGATTAGTCAAGTTTGCTGAACTATTTTTAGTTATTTCCGTCCGTGGGGCTAATGTAGATACATGTCCATATCTTTTATCTGAAACCCTAGGAGCCAGATATGTTTTAGAGCAGGGAGTTTTTTGTTTTTTATTTTTTTTTCCGTTTTAGAAAGTTAATTATGGTACATATACTAAAATATGGAAACCCTGGTGGCGTAGTGGTTAAGTGCTACAGCTGCTAACCAAAAGGTCGGCAGTTCGAATCCACCATGCACTCCTTGGAAGCTCTGTGGGGCAGTTCTACTCTGTCCTATAGGGTCGCTATGAGTCGGAATCGACTTGGCCGCAATGGATTTGGTTTTGTTTTGTTTTGTTTTTTAAATTCTAGTATATCTAACCGTTGGAGTCTGGAGTGGCACTCTATAATGTAATTAAACACTAATATTTCTGTGGCAAAGCATTTAAATATTTACAATAGTGGGAGTAAACAAAGACCATAAATAGCATCATATTCTTTTAGGTCAGACATTGCTTCCAAATGAGTTGTGAAAAACATTCACTTTTTAGTGCTTTTTGAACTTTGGAATTAGAGATAGGGATTGTGGATGTGAACTTTCTAAAATCAATGATAATTGAGTTTACTATTGCTTCTAATTAACCTTGCTTAGGATGTAGAGAAGACTTGATATGTGTTTTAAACTTGCTGTTTTCTGACAGGACAAGTACCTTCACACAAATTGTTTGGCAGCTTTAGCAAATATGTCGGCACAGTTTCGTTCCCTCCATCAATATGCTGCCCAGAGAATCATCAGGTAAATATGAACTTTAAAAGAAAACAGTGATTTTTGTCCTGGCACACTTACTGACAAGGATATTATGGCAGTCTCCTTTTCATTGTTATCTTTGAGGAATATCAAATTTTCTTGATTAATTTTTATTACCTTCTTCTTTTGTTGAAAATATCTGATTTTGTTTTCTACCCTAACTTTTCAATTAAAATTAATTCATTTACTTTCAGTCTTTTTATGTAATCTAGTTTAAAATTTTGTGTGTCAGCTTTTTATGGAGAAGTAGTTGTATTTCTTAGTTGCTGTAGTTAACCAACATATTTGCTGAGCGTTTTATAGAACATCACAAAAGCCTTTTTTTTTTTAAATTTTTTTTTATTGTACTTTAGGTGAAGGTTTACAGAACAAATAGTTTCTCATTAAACAGTCAGTACACATATTGTGTTATGACATTGGTTAACAACCCCACGACATGCCAACACTCTCCCTTCTTCACCTTGGAGGACCTTTTTGTTTTTTGGTGAAAATATGCATAGCCAAAGTTAAACCATTTCAAAAGTTTCTACATGCACAATTCAGTGAGATCGATTACGTTCTTCCAGTTGTGCTGCTATTCTCACTGTCCTTTTCCAAATTATTCCATCACCATTGTCTTCAACTCACTGTCCCCTAAGCTTCCCATCAAACCTTTTGAGTTGCTGTTGTCAATTTGATCTCACATAGATAATTCTTTTTTTTTTTTTTTGTACTTTAGATGAAGGTTTACAGAACAAAATAGTTTCTCACTGAACAGTTAGTACACATATTGCCCTATGACAATGGTATCAACCCCATGACCTGTCAACACTGTCCTTTTTCAAACTTGGATTCCCTATCACCAGCTTTCCTGTCCCCTCCTGGCTTCTAGTCCTTGTCCCTGGACTGCTGTGCCTCATTAGTCCCATTTTGTTTTATGCGGCTGTCAAATCCCCCGCTGAACGGTGAACCTCGGGAGTGACTTCACCATTAAGCTAATAGGGTGTCCAAGGGCCATACCCTCAGGGTTTCTCCAGTCTCTGTCAAGCCAGTAAATGTGATCTTTTTTGTGTGTGTGAGAATTTTGTTTTACATCCTTCTCCAGCTCTGTCCTCTGTTGTGATCCTCTGTTGTGATCCCGCTCAGAGCAATTAGTGGTGGTACCTGGGCACCATCTAGCTGTACTGGACTCAGTCCGGTGGAGGCCGTGGTAGCTGTGGTCCATTAGTCCTTTGGACTAATCTTTTCCTTGTATCCTGTTCTCTTCATTCTCCCTTGCTCCCGAAGGGATGAGACCAGTGGAGTATCTTAGATGGCCGCTCACAGGCTTTTAAGATCCCAGACGCTACTCACCAAGGTAGAATGTAGAACATTGTCTTTATAAACTGCGTTATGCCAGTTGAGCTAGATGTGCCCCAAGACCATGGTCCCCACAGCTCTCCACTCAGCAGTTCAGTCCCTCAGGGAATTTGGATGTGTCTATGGAGCTTCCATCACACAAAACTTTTAAGAAGTTATCTGTTTGCCAACAATTGGCACACTCACCAACGTTTGTTAATTTTTTTTTTTTAATCTTTGCCATCCTAGTGGGAAGGAGGTAGTTTCTCATTGTAGTCTTGATTTGCTTCTTTCTGATGGCGGTTTCTAATTGGAGCCCTGGTGGCGCAGTTGTTAAGAGTTATGGCACGCTATGCTGCTAACCAAAAGGCTGGCAGTTTGAATCTTTCAGCCAATCCTTGGAAACCCTATGGAGCAGTTCTACTCTGTCGTACAGGGTTGCTGTGAATCAGAATTGACTCAACAGCAATGGGAATGGCAGTTCGAATCCACCAGCCGCTCTTTGGAAACTCTGTGGGGCAGTTCTACTCTGTCCTGTAGGCTTGCTATGAATCGTAGGGTTTCCAGTGCTTGTAAGTCTTTACGGAACAGACTGCCACATCTTTTTCCCACAGAGAGACTGGTGGGTTCGAACTGCCGATCTTCCAGTTAGCCACCAAGCATTTTAACAACTTGACAGCAGTGGGTTTGGTTTTTTTTTTGATGGCTAACAAGCATCTTTTCATGTGCTTGTTGGCTGTTTGAATATTCTCTTTGGTGAAATATCTGTTTCAGTCTTTTGTCCATTTTTGGATTGGGTTATTTAGTTTTTTCTTGTATAGAAGTTTTATATATGTTTTGGATATTAGACCCTTATCAGGTATATTGTTCTTGAAAATTTTCTTTCAGTCTGTAGATTGAAAGATTGTAGATTTTTACTTTTTTTATTAAATCCTTTGATGAACAAAAGTCTTCAGTTTTTATGAGGTCCCATTTATCTGTTTTGAATTTTGCTTCTCATGCTTTTGTTATAACTGATAATTCATCATTAAAAACTAGACCCTGCAGCCATGCCCCTGTATTTTCTTTTAAGAATTTTATGGTTTTAGTTTCCACATGTAGATTCTTCATCCATTTTGAGTTGGTTTTTTAGTATGGTGTGAGGGATGGATCCTGATTCATTCTTCTGGATGTTGAAATCCAATTTTTCCAGCACCATTTATTGAAGAGGCTCTTTCTCTCCCATTAAACAGACTTAGTACCCTTGTTGAAAATCTATTCAGGATAGATGTATGGCTTTATTTCTGGGCCCTCAATTCTATTCCATTGGCCTATGTGTCTATTATACCCAGTTACTTAGCTGTTTTGATTACTGTAGCTGTATAGTAGTTGAAATTAGGAGTGTGAGTCCTTCTACTTTGCTCTTCTTCCTCAAAATTCCTTTGGCTATTTGGGGCTTCTTCTCATTCCATATAAAATTGAGGATTGGTTTTTCCATGTCTGTAAAGAAGGCTGTTCTAATTTTGATCATAATTGCATTTATTCTACAAATTGCTTTGGGTAGTATTGACATCTTAACAATATTAAGTCTTCCAATCCAGGAACATTGGGCGTCTTTCCATTTATTTATGTCTTCTTTAATGTCTTTCAGCAGTGTTTTATAAATTTCAATGTATAAGTCATTTGTATATAAAAAAAAACTCTTACAACTCAACCAAAAAAATCAAATACCCCAGTTAAAAACTGGGCAAAGGACTTGAGTAGATATTTCTCCAAAGAAAATATACAGATGGGCAAACATGCACATGAAAAGACGTTCAGGTTCATTAGTTGTTCGGGAAGCGCAAATCAAACCCACAAGGAGGTACCACTTCAGACCCGCTAGGATGGCCATTGAAAACAAACAAACAAAACAACAAGTGTTGGTGAGGCTGTATGGAATTGGAACCCTTGTACATTGCTGGTGGAAATGTAAAATGATTCAGCTGCTGTGGAAAAGTTTGTCTATTCCTTATCAAGTTAAACATTTAATTACCATCCCACTGTTGTCGAATTGACTCTTAACCACAGTGAACCTATAGGATGGACTACAACTGCCTCGTAGGGTTTCCAGGGCTTGTAAATCTTTACGGAAGAGACTGCCACATCTTTTTCCCACAGAGAGACTGGTGGGTTCGAACTGCCGATCTTCCAGTTAGCCACCAAGCATTTTAACAACTGCACCACCAGGGCTTCTATAATTACCATATGACCCAACAATTCTACTCCTAGGTATGTACCTAAAGAATTGAAAACAGATACTCAAGCAAATACTTGTACACACATGTTCATAGAAACACTATTCACAATAGCCAAAAAGAAACAGTTCACATGTCCATCAAGGTATAAATGGATGAACAAATTTTGGTATATACATAAAATGGAATATAATTCAGCTATAACAATAAATGAAATACTGACTCATGCTACATTGTGGATGAACCTTGAAAATATTTTGCTAAGTGAAGGAAGTCAGACACAAAATATTATAGATTGTACCATTCCATTTATATGGAACATCCAGAATAGGTTAATCTACAGAGGTAGAACACAGATTTGGTGGTTGCCTGGTTTTAGGAGAAGGGGAAATAGGGAGCAACTGCTTAATGGGTCCAGGGTTTCCTTTTGGGATGAAAAAAATGGTTTGGAACTAGATAGAGGGTAGTAGTTACACAACATTGTGAATGTATTTTAAATGGCACTGAGTTGTTCACTTTAAAATGGTTAATTTTTTTATTGTTTGAATTTTACCTCAATTAAAAACAAATTAGTAAGAAGGATTTCTGCCCTCAAGTAGCTTAGAATTCAATAGCATGGATAAGACAAGGACCAATATATCTTATACATGGCAGAACGTGGTAAATGTTTAAAAAGAAATTCTTCTGGTGGGAGTGAGTGATTGATTCAGAGAATGATGATGTCGCATCTCATTGAGAGATTAGGCAAGATGACTCAAGAGGGATGGCATTAGAGATAAGCCTGATGGAAGGAGGCATCATCAAAAACAAAACAGAACAAGAAGGGATTGCAGTGAAAAAGGGTGGCTTATATTTACAAAATAACTGGCGTCATTCATTTGGCACTTGGTGGACATGTATAGGGATTATAGAAGAGAAGCCTGAGTGAACCAACCTTTCAGGCCTTATCATGGATAGATTCAAAGTTTAGGATAATGGAAGGAATAGAGAGAAAAGAAGGTTTGATCTTCAACAATAAAAAAGTAAATGTAAGTGAATGAGTTATAAATGGATTTTAAAGAAAATATTTTAAGGTACAGTTCTGGAATTATCCATTTCAGCGGATATTATTAGTATGCTCCATTTGTCAGGCTGAGGGAGGTGTATTTCTAAGCCAAGTGCTGCCAATGCTACTGGTCCAAGGACTGCATTTGAGTACTCTGTGTGGTTCAGCAGTATCCCCATCAGCCAGCGGGGAGCTTGTCAGGAATGCATAGTGCCAGACCAGCTTCAGACCTACTGAATCAGAATCTTCATTTTAACAAGATCCCTAAATGACTTGCACACACGTTAAAATTTGGAACGTGCCTTGAGTTGGAGGCCTGTAAATCAAGATTTATTCCCTGGGAAAACACTTGTTTTGAAATGGAAACGTGGGCCAGCCTTTTCTGTATCTTGAGGGAATTCATTTTCTCC